ACGCTATGGATATTTGTTTTAAATGCCTACATAGGATAGGTTCTTGCTGTAAGAAATCCATGAATCACAGCATTTAAGTATAGAATTGATGAACCAGACTTGCACATCAGAAAATGAACATTAATGAAATCCATATGTAAAAGACCTGATTAGTGGATTGATATGATTTTTCACAGCTATATTTAAGAAATGTTGAAGTGAAACATATTAGAATTGTAGGCAAAATAATATGTGCTAAATTTAGAAAGATACTCTGAACCTTTTGTTTTCAGTTTGTTATCCTTTTTGAAATTACCAATTCCTTATTTAAAATAAATGTTTGTAATGAACAGAATTATGTAATGTTTATGACTTTAAATAGACAGTAGTGGGATTCAATTTATTTTACTACCAGTTCTGTGGGCATGGCTTGGGCGTGGCAGAGGAAGGATACTGTAAAATTTCCATTCCTTCTTCACTCCAGGGGAAGGTTACTGCAAAATCCCCATTTCCTCCCTATCAGTTGGGACTCGGGAGGCAGAGAATAGATGGGCGCAGGGCCAGTCAGAGGTGGTATTTACCTTAAAATTTCTGCTATTGGTTCTCCAGAACTGGTCAAAACCTGCTGAATACCACACCTCTGTTAATAGATAATGAGAACAGCTACTGATGGAACATTATTTCATTAATTCATTTATCTATTGGAATAAATTGAATTTTCTAAGTTTTACTTGTACAGTAGAATGGACTTGGAAGTGATTATGGGTTTTCCCTTAATTGGTTTGAGATTTGTATTTAATGTCAACATAATCTCCCTGGTAACCAGACCAATTGGTGGAATAATGCAACTTTAACACCATCGTGGCCTCATTTCAGACAATCATAATAGTAATTTCTATCACAAAGCTGTTTTTCCTTTTTCAAGATAGACTATATCTGATCATTCACAATATTATATTCAGATACAGGGTACTTATTCAAAAACTTGCATTAGCAGGCTCCACTCCAACTGCCACGTTTTAAATAAACTAATCTTTTGCCTTCTGTTGTTATCACTGCTTCCTATTTAATACATACGGGATTTTCAGAATATACAGGTCAGGGTCAAATTCTTCCATATTTTTATGCTAGCACAAAATGTAATGAAAGCATATAGTATTTAGTGCCAGAGATTGAATATAACAAACACCCATTCTAAGTATGGTACCATTTTTCTTATCTCTGTCCCTTATTATCACAATATTTCTTTCTTATTTCTATTCTGATGATTCATCAGTTGAAGCTGTGTGTGCTTCAGCATCTGTATGTTTCTGTTCTCATAGTTATGAACTAAATTATCTGGGACACTCTGAATTCACATCATTCCTTCTCTTGTTTTTGCGCATCTCACTAAGTATGCTGAATATCTATGTTAGGCTTGCAAATTCAGTGACAACAGCAATTATTAGAACCCGTCTGAGCATTTGAGAGGCTATAATCTTTGATATCCTGGAGTTTAGTCTTGTTTTAGAATGATGTGGGATCTTAACTGTGACTCACAGTTTTAAAACCATGATTTTTGCACAAGTTGATATTCTGCAGCCCATGAATGAAACAAATCCCACTAGTAGCCCCTAAAGAAGGTAGAGTTGAAGTGGACCTTGTGTGTTGCAGGAACTGTGCAGAAGGAGTTGAGAGAAAAATCACAATTTCCACAATCGTAAGGCAACAATTTTATCCCTAAAATCTTCATACCCCAAAGCACACACACACACAAACAAACAGAGGCGTGGAAATGTAAAGCCTGCCACTGCAGTAATATCACATCACCCTCCATCCATTAAACAGGCCACTGAAACATAGTCCAGCCACAGAGTCTAACGATATCAGATCTGTACTGTAAAAATTAAGTTGGCCATTGAGTGGCAGCAAAGACATATCAAAACCAGAACATTACTCATAACCTAGTTGACTATAGTTAAGAAGCTTATTGTTTTGTGGCTACCAGTATTTTTCATGTTCAACTTTCATTGTGGTGTTCTTGCTTACTTGCCTATTCTGCTTTTTAATATTAGAATTTAAATGGAGTTTGATGCCATGCTAAGCAGTATTTAATCCTACCTGTAAATGACAAGATTAAGAGAATTTAAACTGTTTCAGCTGCCCAATATTAATAGAGTTAGTTGCTTATAATCCCAAATATTAATTTAAAAATACAATTTAAAATGTTAATTAAAATCAATGTATTGGGGAAAATTTTTATTATTATATTAAATAAAGAGTACTGTAATACATAAACAATAAATGTTGATAATAATAATAATGGCTTGCTAGGGTTTTAAAATGCTTTCATATATTTTGCTATAGGAATATCCAACTCGCCTTTAGAATTTCCCAGCAATATTAATGAACAGAATTTTCAAGAAAGAATCCAGGATGCCAAATTTGTATCAATTGTGAAAATATTTTAGTGCTCCTGTACCAACAGACACATTCACACCTTGTAGAATTATTATAATAAATTCTTTTAAGAAAATAGTGAATTAAGATAGGAGGCAAATTTGATTTTCATGTTTATACTCCATTATGGTTCACAACATATTGAATCTAAATGGTGGGGGGCGGGGAGGTGATGTATTTCTATGTTTTTCTATTAATAATAAATGAGCAAAGGCTGCCCTCTTCTGATAAATTTTAATTCATAAAGTTTATATGTTTAATATTCTGAATAGGTTTTATGTGTAGGAAAATATTTAAAAATACATTTTAATAGCATTTGTGGGAAGCAGTGTATAAGAGCCAGTTTTAGTATAGTAGTGAAGGTGCTGTCTAGAAACTAGGAAACCATGAATTCTAGGCCTGTTTTTGCATGAAAGCTGGTTGGGTGACTGTAGAACACCCATTCTATCTCAGCCCAAACTACTGTACTTCACAAGGTTGTTGCTATGGAAGAAAATAAGAGCTTATCCAACCGTCTTTCCATAGATGATCTGAAGCTGTATGGAAAAACACCATCTGAAATAGAATCATTGCTGAACACTGTCCATACATACAGCCAAGATATTGCAATGGAGTTTGATCTGGGGAACCAAACCTTAACAGGAAAAGTAATGATTGAAATGAAAATCCCATATCAAAAAATATTTTATATTTACTCAAAACTAAAGATTTACCTTGCTTTACATCCAAACTTCATCACATTTATATAAATCAATATGAGTGAATTAAGCTGCAATAAATAAGAACATTCAGTTTCAGCTGTTTTAAGCAAATATCCTACTTGTATGTTCTAATACAGAAAGTGAGCTTCCTTTAGAATTTGAACAATATGCAACATATTATATGAAACATGAAAATACAGGCTTTTGAATAATACTGTTTTGGGAAAATGGATTAACATAGTGATAACAGTACTACCTATAAATTCTGGGATTTGAAGTTCATGCAACTTTCTAATTCTGGGAGGTGAAGTTCATTCATCATAAAATTGCCAAACTTGAGAAATATTGTCTTAGCCTTTACAAATGTCCTTCACATGAAGAGCATGACACAAATATAGTTTCCTTCTAAACTAGCTAATATAATACAATGTTTCTTCCTACCTTTCTTATGAAACATTTTATATCCAAGTAGATTTAAACTATATTTATATTCACTAAGGATATTGACATCATAAATTTATTTGCCATAATGCTATCAATCTCTATTTCACTCTGCAAATTTCATAAATGACAAAAATAAATGTTTCCAAATCTTTCTAAGCCTTCTATCATAAAAATGAAAAACAGCTTACACTTCTCATTACAAGTATGTGCTAATAAGGTCTCTTTGTCATTACCGCAATAAACTAGCTGCATATTCTTAATTTACTCCTGGGATAAATTTTTGTTGGATGAACAGGCACCTTCTAATACTGTTAAAATCAGACTAATATAAACAAACAAAAAATTAATTAAATCTAAGGATTGCTGCCAAATTCTAATTTGTGGATGAAATTCATTGGGACATAGATGAGACTGCTTTCCAGATTTTGTCATGCTTCAATTTGGTTTTCCTCATGAGTTCTGCACTAATAATCCCATCTAATGTTCCAGCCTCTAAAGAGCTACTAAAGCCAAACATTTACAAAAATAAAATGCACATCTTGAAAATTGGTAGTTGAAAGATGCAAGTTTCATCCAAGAAATTATTGCTGAAAAACCTAGTGCCAGAGCAATATTCGTTTCATTATTTTTATTTAAATTTTAAAATCCTAAAATGTATATAGTGCTGGCACATTTTAACTTCCCCATAATTTTGGATACAAGTTGTTGGCAGGATGCTTATTTTATATTTATAGTCTTGTATGCCACTTGCTTTTTTGCCATACAATGGATTTTTTCAGAGATTTTCTCAGGCAAAAGTACAGTTCAGACTTTACAACAACATCCATCCACTGATATATTGTCTAATTATTTCCATTATTTAGCAATAATTAACTTGACTGTTAGAGGTAGAAACTTTTTTTTACTTTGTAAAATGCATAAAAAGCCTAACTTTGAAGAGAATGAAAGCAGATCCTATGAGACTCAGTTTACTTTGGCTATCTACAGTATGAGATGTTTGAGTCTATAAGTTCAGATGAAATAGGCAAGGTCCTTAGAACTATCATGACATCAACACTATCATGAGCTGATGATTGTTAAACATCTGGATGCTGCAGGTGGTTTCAAATGCAGTAGGGTTGGCAGTTATGCACATTTATCAATTTGCAAGTTACACATCTGTTTCATAAGCTGCACAGCTTGGTAGTGTTAGTATGGTAGAATGGTGGGATATGACCGCTATGTCCTGGTACAGCGTACCGGTGCCTGATGGGACCACCAGGTACTGTTCCAGTATGGTGCTCCTGAGGGCCTGCCCGCCCGCCCTCCTTACCTGTATTTGAGCCAATTGGGGCTTTCACACATGGAGCATACAGTGCCTACGTGACGCTCCACCAAGCAGCTAGAGCATTTCGGGTGGTAAGTATGCATGTGTGTGCTGCACACATGCTGTATGCATGCACGTGGTGGACGCCCGGCCCCATTGCAGCATACCAGTTGCAATGGGATCTGGAACCCACCACTGGTATGGTACCAGTAGTTATCTATATGGCCCTTCATGGGATGGACTGGGTTATTTGTGGAATTACTTCTCCAATGGTGTCTATCAGTTGTGTGAGATCCAACATAAGTGGCATGCTAGGAGTCCTATCAAAGAGTGTCACTTGGCAAGACCTAAACCACAAACTCTTTATATTATGGTACCTTTTCTTTGGAACATAATCCTCCAGAGATTGCCTGGATCCGGTTGGTCTAATGTAAAGCCTTCAAAATTTCTCTCAGGTATGGAGCTTGAAACATACTGGAAATACTGTGAAATAATTATGCTAATAGCTGCTTATGGTTTATTTCAGCTGCTGTTTATATATTGCTATATTGCTATTGTTTTTACTGCTGTTTAGAATCAAATAAACAACCATACAAGTTGAAAAAAGTAACTAACAAAATAAAATGTAACTTTCCTTTTAGTTATACATGACATTTCATTAAAACATTTTCTTCCAAAAATCCAAGCTTCTTTTAGCTTGTAGTTGATACATCATAATGTGTTTCACATAAAACATTTTTTTTTCAGAAATAGATTTTTATTCGCAATCTTTATCACTTTTTAAATTTTGCAATATTGAATTAACCCAGTACAACAAAAATGACAGCATTTTTTGTTCTTATTGTTATTCAACATGCTTTAAATTTTAAGTTGCTATCTATATATATATATAGTACTATCTATATATTATTAAGCCTGTTTGTCTGTTTCTAACCTTCAACTGGGCAAAACAGTGCATCTAGGGTCATATTTTTTTAATCAATGTGCTTCAAATACAGAATGCCAGGTCCCGAGACCCATGATTCCTATGGGAATGAAATTTGGGGAAGCTGTGACCACTTCAGTACTACCATACTGCATTCAGCATTGGTGAGCCACAGTCACTTGATTATCATATTCAATGCTCCATGCTGGCTTCCCAGAAGTCAATAAGATGCTGGAAGAAGTAGAAACTCAATTGTGATTGCTGATGCTCCTTGACAGCTTGTCACAAGCAAGATAGCAGGAAGCATCAGCAGTGGGAAAGTTGGCAGGAAAGATTACAAGTTGCTTGGGTGAGTCTCTCCCCTCCACACAACTTCACTGCACACATATCTTGCACCCTTTCTGACCCATGTTGCACCCTCCCAGTCAGTGCAGTACCACTTGCAGATCTCTGTGCACCCTTCCTGACTCATGCTGTACATTTGACACATTTAAATCTACATACAAATTAATTTTAAACTTATTTGGTATACTACATCTTCTGTAACTTCAATAATATACTACCTATCATATCAAGTCATTTTGAAGACCAATATTCAAAAATACCCATCAAAACATTTTGCTCCATTGCTAATTAACAAGAAAAAATTATTATCTTGTAGCTCCCACAAGTGTCAAACATTCAATGTATCACTATCATGTTTCTTCTTTTAAAAAAATCACAATTTTTCCATGCTAAGAATTATTGTAATTAATAAAAAATATACTTCGAAGTCTAGATGGATCCTTAATCTTCTGTTAGCTTTTCAAAATTCATATTCTAAGTATCCTTTTGCTGTTAAATAAAAAAAAAACTTATCCAGAACGTTCAAAATAATATTCAACAAATTCTTTCTTCAATTTGCTCGCCTTCAAATAAAGTAAAAATTTTCCAGTGGGAAGAGTATAATCTGTCCCAAGTAATGAAGGAAACTAATCCAAAAAGTGATTAAGAAATGGGGTTCCTTATGCTATTAGTTATGAAGAGGAATCTTCTCAACTAATGGTCAGCACCTAGTGAAAGTTAGATAAGGGCCAATAGCAATCAAAGGAGACACTCAGCCACTCTACTCATAAGCAGACTACAATTCTTGATAGCTATAAGAAGCAGCTGTTTGATTCACATTTTCCCCTTAGATCTATTTTCCCCCCAAAATGGTCCAGCATGATCCATAGTGAATCTTCACTGTCCATTTCCCTTTCTACTTACTTTTCTCATATACTTATATACATTTTTAAACTGTGCCAGATCTTTAACTGGTCAGTTTAAAGATTTCAACTATAAATATTTTTCTCACTTTACTCTTGCTTCTGGTAATTTGCTCCATCCATAATCTTCATTTTGTAGCAGAAGTGGGTCGCAGGCTGGCCATGCCCATGAACCAGTTCCCCAGTCGCCGCCGTCACCACCACCATTTTTTTTAGTTCTATGCATGCGCAGAACAATTTCCTTTGAACTGTGCATGTGTGCACAGCGCACATCCAGCGCATGCGCACAGAACACACACATGAGCAATCTGGCAGTAACACTAGCTAAAACCCACCCTTGTTTTATAGCTGTGACTGCTTGCTTTAATCTCAAAGGTTATTTCTTGTGCTAGCATCAGAGGGAGTCTTTTTCAAATTTCCTAGAATTTTATCAATAACCTGAATAGTAGACATTGCTTCTATTGCTTACAATTTTAAAATTATGTTTAATTAGAAATCCCCATGAATTCCCAACTTTATCAACAATTATGTTGCAGGCTTGAACACATTTATTCTTGATTAATTTTATCTCTAGTACATTCATTAAGAAAATTATTGTATCCTTGTTTTTTCAACTTCCCAAGTCTGTACATGTCCTTTCACACAAATGTAAATCTGTGAGACATTGTTCAGTTTTATCATCATAGCATCTGTTTATGATATTTAGGGTTTTTGCTGTTAACTCTAATGGAAAAGTTGCTTCATCTATCCTCAAAACCCAAAACTTTTTTCAACAATAGCATTAACATATACATTTTAATGTAGTATGATCCTGCATTTAGTGATGAAATTATTACTGTTAATTTCAATGGTATATCACCATCATTGTGCATAAGACTGAAATTGAAATCTTCTCAAAAAATAATTCACAGCTCTGAGTGCTTTTTAACTAGAAATTGATTGCTAACATATGCAACTAGGCACATGAAAAATATCTTAATTTCTTTTAAAAGTTCATTCTGTGATCTTCAGAGGTAATCATAAAATTGGCAAATTAACTTTCTTGAAGGGAGCCAATTAAACTTGTTACCAGTTCATGTTGGTCTTTTTAATTTTACTTGTATGCAATATCCTGAAATAATCAATTGTCTTGCATATTTATCTCATAGCATGGGATAGGTGTAAAAGTTGTTTCAACATTTTCCACAAGTATTAAATCATATCTACATAACTGGATCCTGTATAGAGAGAAGAAAATATACAATCAAGAAAAAGTGTGTTTTATTGTTATTATTGTTCCTAAGTAATATTCATCCTATACTTAACCAGTGCTTTTAAGAGAAACCAGGACTGATTTTCAGTGTATTACCAATATAATACAACATAATATATGATAGCAGATTCATCTGTCCCCCCTATTCTTTGTTCTTCACAAGTCTATCTTTTTTCTAGTCTTATTGTTCTTGTTTTTGTATTCTATTATTTTACATTTACTTTGTTTAAACTTCCTTTTTAATATTATTATTATTATTTAACAATAATAATATATTAAACCATATCCAAAACAGATGGGAATAAATTTTAATCTTATTTATTCCTCTACTTTTAATTCTTTTACCCTTTGAACTGATCATCCAAAGTTATTTTTAAAAATCCATATTGTACTGTTTCTAAATCACATATGAAGATATATGAAAACACTGCTTTATACACACTCAGAAATGCTTCCCCCCTCAAATAAAATATTTTAGAATAAAAGCCACTGGTCTTTGCAAAAGTCTTTAGGTATCACCCAATAGTCAAACCTATTAAATAGGTAAACCCCAGAATAGTCATCCACAGCTAAGTGTTTTAGTTTAGATATGTGTACCTTAGTCGCAAGCTATCTGGCTGACATTTCAGAACTTTTTAAAATAAATTAAGTGTTGGAACAATTATTTTATTGCATAACCAATTATTTTATTGCAAATGCTGAATAAAAGAGAAATCAATTCTGGGGGAAAGCATTTCTGTTTCAAGCAAAATATTTTTTTAACCAGCTACTAATTTCTATATAATATCCACCAGTCTTTATTTGAGAAGTGATTTCCATGACTGTTCCTGAGATGGAGCAACCAATACAACTATACAATATAATTAAGAATTTTTGCAGTTGTAATTCTGCTTTTTCAGCTCCGCAGTATATACAGAAAAAAAATCTTTCTAAGACATTTAACGTATAAATAAATTAAAAAGATAGTAAGAATATATTTCTTCTCTAGATTTTCTCAACTTCTAAGCTAAACTGTTGGCAATCATTAAATTAATGTAATTCTTAGATTATTACTTACATCTATATATTTTCTATCTAATTGTGTTCTGATTTGGTACAGATTTTAAAACTTGTTCAAATTAGTATTGTTAAAGTACCTACACTCACACGGCAGACATCCTACTGAAAATATTCCTCTCAGATCAGAGGTGGGTCACTACCAGTTTGCACCAGTTCAGGCAAAATGGTAGTGGAAATTGTGACTTGGTCGCTGAACTGATAGGGACGGCAGGCTGGCCATGCCCCGGAACTGGTTCTCCTGTCGCTGTGGCATGTCTTTTTTACATTTTTAATGTTCTGCGCATGCACAGACCTATTTACAGGCAATGCGCACATCCACAGAGCAAATTGCGTTCACCGAACTGGCAGTAATGCTGGCAGAACCCCACCTCTGCCTCATATGTAGTTTTAGCAAATTCTGTACTCATTTTCTGCCTCAGTTGTAAAAAACAGTGCCTTCAATCAAAACTATTCTGTCATCTGTAAGTGTTATCATTGAGCAACAGGATTTGTGGTTCAGCTATCTTTTCTTAAATTCTTTTTTCATATCATGAAGCTATCACAAAATGACAATATGTGTTACCTTTCTGGATATGAAAGAGATTTTAATCTCATTTCGAGAACTCTAAGCTTGTACTTGGGGCCCACTGTATTCCTTGTAGAAAATGTCAAAGCAATTGCTGAAATGTTTCCAAAATCCAGATAAAATCCAGCAAGTATCTTTGTTTGTCTATATTGTTGAAATACAGTGGCATCACTAAAGAAGAAGAAAAAAGAATTATACAATGTATGCGCCTTTATAAAATAATGTGTCATGCAATGGGTTTCAAAGATCATTAAAAAACAAACAAACCAGAACAGAATATACAAACGACTATAAACCTTGGTCCAGGCAGAAGCAGCAAGAAATATATTTTGACAACTGGATTCTCAAATATATCCAGTATAGATTGTAACACCACTGTGGACTAATCTACGCAAGGTCTTATTATACCTTAAGCCTGTTCAGCTGAACAAGCAAAATTAACCATTTATTTGTCCACAAGAGATCAGAAGCAGTGGTGGGATTCAAATTTTTTTATAATACCATAAGTACCTTGTGTGTGTGTGTGTGTGTGTGTACACACAGACACACACACATATATGAATTTATATGGTAATTTTACAATTACTATAAATACCTTGTATTTACACAATAGCAATTTCTGAATTTGCATGTACTGATATAAAATTATTAAATTGAATGCAAACTTTCTCTTTTTCTCCCTCCTGTCGTCTTCCTTCTTTCCCCCTTTCCTCCCCTCTCTCCTGATATACTGTACTAGGCAGGTAGCAAAAATAAACAGCATAATTAGAAAACAGAAAGAAAATCTGACTGAAATAGTATTTACTCAACTTTGCATTCTGCATCTTGCATTCCAAGATCAGGGGGCTCTACTCGCAGTCACTCATGCCTCAAGGTTGGACTATTGCAATGAGGCTATCCATGAAGAAAATCTGGAAGTGTCAGCTACTTCAGAATGCAGAATGCAACAGAGCAGGCAGTAATGTGCTTCTGTACAAACACATGTTTATACCTTTGTTTGGCAAGCTGCATTGTTAACCAATCTGTTTCTAAATTCAAGGTGCACATTTTTATGTTTAAAGCTATCCATTGATTATTTGAAGGACTGCCTTTCTCAGATTATATCTATCCATCCAACTTCACTGTATAATTTTGTATCCCACCCAGAGTCACTTGACTGTGAGGTTGGCAGCTACATAAATAAGACTAATAAATAGCATACATACAATTTCAATACAGATAGTCCTTGCTTACTGATTGCATCATTTAGCGATCATTAGAAGTTAACAATTGTGCTCCAAAATAATTTTGTGATTAATAACTACATTTCAAAGGGTGCGAAATTCCAAAGGTTGGGAGAGTAGGGAACAAATAAAATATAGTCATGGTCATGTAATTTCCCATTTTGCATCTGCTTCATTTAACGATAGAGCTGCTGGTTCCAACTATGGTTGCTAGCCAAGGACTATCTCTATTATGTTTTTTCTTTGCATATTAACTTTCAAGCTTCCATTCTAATTCAAAAGTCATTTATCAATTACTCATTTTTTAATCTTTATTCAACTAGTTCTTATTATAGCCGATACTATTTTGCATAAAGAATACCAAAATGAATAAATATATCTCACCTATTAATTGTGGATTCTACTGTATTTCCTGAATTATCTGTTATTTTTATATTTATGAAACCTCTCCTAGTGCTTTTATTCCATGTAATAATATCCAAAGAATAATGATACACTGTGGGAGATAGAAAAAATGTAATTTTATTTTGATTTATTTGCCTCTTTTTCAGAAAGGAAAAGAAAAATCCTGGAAAGTGGACTTGAGTTTATAGAGCAATCGGAAAGTTATATATCAAGAGACTACTGAAAATGTTCTCAGGCTAGAATGTCAGAATAATGTATACATTTCAGAGCTAGATGCATCATAGTAGGTAACAGCTTAATGCTAAGCCATTTTATTGAAAAATGTACCTCTTTTTAGCAACAACCTTTTTTATTATACTGAGATTGATCAAAATGCACAATTAATGGCAAGATGGAGCAAGGTGAAATAGCAGGTAAAATTATTATCCTCTAATTAATCATGATATAAATCTTACATATGATACCCTTATAAATTTCACAGATGATATGGATATATCTTGCAAGTGCTATATATTCCCTATATTTTTCTTGTTTTTGTTCTATATTCTATAGTAGCTGTACTTACTAGGAAAATATTTTTTTAAAATTACTCATTCTATATTACATTTCTGATAGTAAATGTAGAACATAATGATATTTCCTAAGTGAGACATTCAGTCACTTAATTTCCATAACTCTGGAAAGATAGATCATTATATAAAATATATTGTATGAAACATAACAAAAATAGTTTTCTACAACAGGCATGTAAACAATTGATCTGAACTCTATAGAACAATTATATAGATTCTTACAATGAATTAATTTCATTGAATTCATCTAAATTTAGTATTAAAATACTTTTGGATATTCAAATTCAAATTATCACTTGCTACTAAATATTTCTTGTCCTTCGCCTTTAAAAACCACATAGTTTGTTCTGTTAGATTCATAATTATCAGTAAAATTCTGTATGCAAAGAAAAAGTATAGCATTACTTTTATCATATCCAAAATAGCCAATAGTCAATATAACATTTTCCTAGCCATATATTATATCACCCATATATTGCCTCCTTCCTAGAACTGAGAGAGAGTGACTGATCCAAAGTCAACCAGCTGACTTTGCAAGACTAGAACTCACAATGTCCCAGTTTGTAGTCTGTGCAATTTTTTGAAGAGTTAACCACTGCACAAAACTGACTATATTGTGATATTGCACAATAGAATAAATGGAAGTCTGGTTTGAAGTATGAAATGTTTCTAATAATATAATGCTATTATATTTAACAAATATGGTGCTCTAAGGTGTTACATAAAGCATTCCAAAGCAGATCCATCTTTTAGTCATGTCTATCAGACAGAATTAATGATTTTTCAAATACTGAGCTATTATCTCTGCTTCAAGTTCTGTTTAGCTTGCAAAGACCTTGAATGCGGCTATTTAAATATCAGTTGAAAACATCAACACAGAAACATACAGAAACACACACAGCCCTATTTGTAAGACGTACTAGTACAGCTCTCATATGAACCTTTTATAATGCATGGTAGTAAATATTTACTAATTCTCTGTTTCATTATACTTCTTTTCTTGAAATTCATTTTGTTATTATCTAATATAAATCCATCTCTTTCTCATTTTTATCAGCTCATTTGTCATCTTTTACTAGGTTGCCCAGATAATTTCCTGCTTCTAACGTTTTTCTCCAAGCACATAGATCTTTTCAGCATCATACTATTTTATAAATAAAAGTGTAATAAAAAAAGGTTTAATCAGGGATATTATGTCAAGTTATCTCGACAGTAAAATACACTGGGTTTTTTTTCCTCCTATTTTTTCCATAGCATGAAAAAAAAAAAGAAAGCTGAAGTAGATGCATGGAAAATAGTTAAGGACTTACTGCAAAATGGATCTTTGTCTGAAGTATCAAAGTAAGCTGTTGTCATGGGAGGATTGTTTTCAAGTAAATGATCCTTCCATTTATCAGCATAGTATCCTGAAATTGAAATATATTCAATACAAAATAAACAAACAGATGCAAAAAATACTAAAGATATATTATTTTATGATGCTCCGTGAAATTAACTTTCCCAGAATATAATAAAAATACTTAATGCTGCAGTTGTATACCAGAAAATCAAAATTCTGTTAGTTATTAGAAGTTATCAGCTAGATTTTAAGTGAATCTCTTGATTAACTCTTTTGCAAATTTCCCCGTAGTAATAATGTTATTAAGCAATAGCTTCAGACAGCACACTGATATAGCAGCAATAGCAATAGCAGTAGACTTATATACCGCTTCATAGGCCTTTCAGGCCTCTCTAAGCGGTTTACAGAGAGTCAGCATATTGCCCCCAACAATCTGGGTCCTCATTTTACCCACCTTGGAAGGATGGAAGGCTGAGTCAACCCTGAGCCGGTGAGATTTGAACCGCTGAACTGCTGATCTAGCAGTAGCCTGCAGTGCTGCATTTAACCACTGCGCCACCTTGGCAGAAGCACTGCTATTGCAGACAGGTAGGCAGGCAGGCAGGCAATTGATTTTTGATTGGTAAAGCAATTAGACCATAAATCAATGTGCCACCTTCTACTCTTTTCATAAGTTAGAAGTTGTTGGGAGGACAAGTGATTGATTTAGTACTGCATGGCTGAAAGAGAAGCATTTTAGAAATGTTACGAGTAAACAAAGTAAATAAATGTATTGGATTGTGTGCTGTTTGATCCTAACAAGACTGCTCACAATCTCACTTATCTTGTTTTAGAAAGATCCCACGTAATACTATGAATTAGTCAAAAGCTATGAAGAAATGAAGTTTGAAAAAGGAAAAGAAAGTAGTATAGCAATCCTGAAAGTGTGCGTGCTTTTTTAATGATTCATTCAGCAAGCAAACTGACTGATCAGGTTTATATTACAACACCATGGATGGCAATAATGAAACAACAAGTAGATAAAGCATACTTTCAGTGCACATAGGTAATTTGCATGTTTTATTATTAGTCTCCTCATTTGCTAAACAGCTAAACAAATGTACAGAAATAACAGCATTCAAACAAGCCATGGTCAGAAGCCAGTTTAAAGTATTATTCCTAATCTACTTTTCTAATTATCTTTTCAGAAAAACGGAAGTAATCTGTGTTAGTAAATTGTTCATTCAGCTGTGATTTATAATATTAGGATTTCTGGTTTAATATGAAGTAAAATATGACCAAGGTGCAACAAAGTCCCAATGGATTTCTACAACCAACAGAGAGAGCCAAACAATCTTTGATCAGGATGACAAAATATTTAATAATGTAAGTTTTATCAGCTTTTATCAGATATATTTCATCAAATATATCTAGAATATGTAAATTGTATAAATCCATTTAACGGGTCCTAGCTTTTATTCACATGATGCAGAATGTCCTCAGAAGGGGAATCTGCCTACTATAGCTGAAGACAATCCTTGATGCAGCTTGGTCATGTACCGGTAGGACTTCAAGTACTCAGACATACACCCCGCAAGTAAAATGTGACCAACACATAAAATTAGTGTGTTTATTTGTATATTTAAGAATTAACGCTCAATTCTTTTAAAGCATAATGATAGTGATTTTTTTTTAAGTATTTCTTTGCCTGATGATTTAAAAATAGTGCACCTGTTTCATTTTTATTTCTTTTAGGATATATTTTAGGCATCTACTTATTTTTTAATTCATCTGCAACAGGAAACTTTACAGATATCCAGTTCTCTTGAGCTATCTTTCACTCTTATAGTGGTGTAATATGGAATTTTCCAGTTTTGGAAATAAATTTTAAGATTCCATCAAGTCTCCCAGCTTAAAAATACAATTTCTGACTCTTCCTTTGGAGTGTTAAAGTTAATAAAATTAACCATGATGAATTTGGTTTCCACAACACCCAAATTGACATTCACCCTTTGATTCTGATGCAGTGTCAGCAACATATGGGTAAAACTTATTGCATATTGCTTGAAATGGAGTAAATACAGAACATATACATTTTCTTCCATAAAGAAAATAATTCTCAATTTTTTCCTAATCATTTTCCTGTAGGAACAACAGAATATGATGGGATCTATAAGACACTAAAATAATACTTTTACTATAAAGCAGTATATAAGTCTAAGTGCTATTGCTATTGTGAGATATTACAACATTTTTTTGCCTAAAATCATATAATTTGGAAAGATAATGTCAAATTTTACAACAGTTAGTAGTGATAATTTGATGTTTTGGAATCTCCATTCTCAGCATCATTGTTATTATCTCATTACATGCACCAGGGATCACCTACAATACATTCAAATACTAACCTAAAAATAAATGTGTAGAATCTGAAAATAATGGAAAAACTTTCTTGGTAATTGTTCCTAAATGACTGTTTTTAAAATGAAATTAACAGCTAAGAAATAGTTGGGAATGTTTTATAAATGATTCAGAAAGTTGAGTTTGAAAATTAAGATATCTGCTTATCTTGTACTCCCATCTTAGAAGGGTTACTGTTTAAGACACAGACAGCCTAATGATTCATTGGGAGATATTTTATCTGTCTTTATTATTTTTACAACTAACTCAAGGTAGCAAACATATCCAACGCACCTTCCCCCTTCTATTTTCCCCACTAAAACAACTGTGAGATTATTTGAGCTGAGGGAGAATAACTAGCCCAGCTGGCTTTCATAGCTAAGGTGGCACTTGAACTCATGATCGCCTGCTTTCTAGCCGGGTGCTTTAACCATTACACCAAACTGACTCTACTACAAATTGAAGGTGAGAGTTAAGTGAATATCTCTTGTGCAGTGCAGTGACTTTGGTACTGTGATCATCTTTGATATAATATTTATATAATATGTGTTCTATAGTTTAAAACAGACAAAAACATACATGATTCCAGTTTGACAAATAAACTGGATATCTTTACTCCTAGAATATTTCACTGTATCAGATTTTAAAAGCATTACATAATAGAATGTTCTGAATATTGTAGAATGCTGTCTAAGAAAGTCTCCATAAAATATTATCTGAAACACATGACTCTTACCTAATACTGGGCATGGGAGCGATTTAAAATTACAGCTCACACATTTTCCATTCCTGTAATCTTTATACGATTCACAAGGATATGCAGTTATATCACACTTATGTTGTAAAGATGACATATACAAAAAAACAGATCTCTGGTGATCACATTTGAAATAAGATGCTCCTAGAAGAATCAAAAAGTAAACTCAAGAGTATGTAATCATGTTCTGTTTTTCACAAAATAGAATAGCAGCAGCATTTCAAAATTAGCAGTAGTTGCTAGTTAATATTTGAATGGGAGACTCCCCAGAAATTCCTAACTATAGCTTAAACTGGAATTGCATTAAATTAAATTACATTCTGAAAAACCATTTCTATACAGCTATCAAAAATCCAGCACAGATCTCCCCTTAAAACACAAGAGCAGAGAGTGGCTTTTTGCCTTTTACCTCAAAGCAGGAAAGCTATCTTCTGCAGTTCAGTCCCCTATTTCTCCTTTTCCCTTTCTGAGTTGCTTATTTTGCTCTCCCAGCATTTTCCAAGCAAGGTCCAACTAAGAATACCTAGAGATTTTGTGTAGTTGATTTCTCACCATGTGTTCTAACTACAATAGTGCTTTCTGTCCTTCCTAGGCAAAAAAGGAAACTTACTCATATTTTAAAATTTAAATCCTAGTGTATGCCTGAACAATCTAGATTTAGACTTGTTAATATATAGCACTCAAGAGCAGGATTCAATGAAAGTTTAAATGCATATTAAAAATTATTGAAAAATCTGATTCTATACAAAATTGTAATTTTTTTAAAAAAAATACACTAACAGAATTGCCTTCATGAATGACTTCACTACAATTAAACCCCTCAACAAATTCCTATGATAATTAATGTATCTATATTTACCACTAAGTATTGTCTTTGGACATCCGGGCTGATCTGTTCCTCCATTTGGATAGAAATCAATGTTTCCCAAAGACTCCTTGATACCAAAGCCTAACAATGAAATACATAGTGAAGAAAAAATAAATAAACCATCTTAATCACAATTCTCCTGTCCACAAAAAAATAGAGCTTAATCTCTCACATATTTGTAAAAGGATTAAAAATAATAAAAATAAAAATAATAGCATTAAGATATCAAAGAGCTAAGGATGTGTATTACCAAACCCCTGGAATTTATAATTATCACTAAACTACATCCAGGAATTCTAAATGTTTCATTGAAACTAGTCATAAAATAAGGTACTGATCGCTTCAAGGAGCTTGGTCAGGAGATGAAATGGAATCTGCAAGGATCAAGGTGATGGCCTAAAATTTGCTGAAATATTTGCTCAAATTATGAATTTGCTTTCAAATTCGTAATTTTATATCTTAGCTGTAAATTTACATAAAAGGGAATTTCCTTTCATATGCCAATGCTAAATAGATTTTTATCCTTTGTTGTTAATATTTTAAAAATAATTTTAATATCTTACTGTAGTCAACACCATCATGAGTTTAAACAGTTAATACTTTTGAACTGAAAAGTAGGATTTTTAAACAAATATTAAAATATTGAGGTTTATCTTCTGTTCATAATTAGGATTATTACTAAACTCACTGGTATTAACTTGGTTAAAGTTTCTAATGAACTTAAACAATTTATACCTGCTGTAAGAAATGTATTTTGAATTGATATTTTTAAAAATAGCTGCTCCAATGTGGTACTGTAGTTTAGAAAATAACTTTTTTTGTATCAGGAACGTCTGCAATTCAGAGACAAATGAAAAAGTTCTGGCTATGTTTTTGCCCAATCTTTAAGCACAAGTCTTTCAGCATATCCTAAGTACCTTTTTGGATTCCAGTCATAATAATTGCATACATCTTGGCCAAAAGTATGTATTTTGAGATGGTACTTATTCTCTTATAGATATGTACAGATTCTGTTGGAATCACACCAGGAAGTGAAGGGGGGTGAGAGGAAATCATTCAAACACACAATGCTCAAAATCTAAATGTGCAATAATTACCATCAGTATCAGAATGAATGACATCCACAAACTGAGCATCAGTATGATCCAGCCTCTCATTAGCCAGCTTTCTGGCAAACAATGGACCTGCTGGGTCAAGACCTAAAGAGTAGATGCAAAGCAGAGTTCATAATAAAAATATGCAAGCATTGTTTAAATGTAAATACTATAAGTAACACAAAATTAACAACTAAACAGAGTAATTATTTAAAAGACAAGTAAGCTTCTCATTTGCGCCCCCCTTCCTAACAGCCTAAATCTTAAATGTAGTTCCAGCAATCTAATTAATGTATACATATGGAGATATTACTAAGGAGACACTAATGAAAAAGAGAAGTTGCAATTTTAAATAGAAAGTTTCGACAATGTGCACACTGATAGAAACTTCATGTTAGAAAACATGACATAACATCATTTTATGAAGAGATTAAAGGTTTGTTCAGCAATCAAGAACTTAGGTCCAAGTTACGCCCATTGGTGTCACATTACACTTCTTTCACTTGAGATACAGCCTAATTTGAAGGATATTTTCATTTAAACCAATGCACTGATATCTCTATCAAACCATAGTAATGTATTAGATTTGGAGGGTTTTCTTGGCCATTTTCCCGAGCCATTAGTTAAGTTTACTTTGTGAACTTGTGACATATATCACCATTGTGAAAAGCCCTAAAACTGGCAAGCAGGCATAGCAATGTCTAGAGAAGATCATACATCTCTCAAACAACATTCCTGTGATTTTCTTGTTTATAGAAATGTGTGGTGACACTGCTGAGTTGCACAATCTTTATTTTTATTTTTCATTTGTAAAAAAAGTGTAAAAATAGATTCCAATTGCAATACTTTATATGAAAGAACTGTGCTATAAATCATGTTCCAAACTAGCCAGCTTCTAAAATTCAACCTGGAAGGACTGTTTGAAGTTTATTCAGTTTGTAAGCCTTACCTGTAATTCTTCCAATTTTGCCATTATATGTCTTCCCAACAAATCCAGCTATATGAGCCCCTAGGCTTACACCAATCATATAAATAGAATCAATAGCAACACCATTCTCCTGTGGGGGGAAAAGTTATGGAAAGAGGGTTATAGAAATGTAAATCATAGAATATTTGATATAATTAGGAAAGTTAAACAGAATTTATTCTAGTTCCTGACATTGACATCTTGTCAATATGTTATACTGTATATCCAAAGATTTTCAAGAATAATTAAATAACTTCAGAATAAAAATATGAAACTGCAGCAGTAAAGCATATTTCATCTCAAAAATGTGCTCTGTTAGTTTATACATAAAACTACAACACATCAGGATGATTTTTATCTCATTTTCTCCTCTTATACACTACAACAGATTGAGATAAATTTTATGATAGTGCCACATAGATTACATCCTATCCAGAAGCACTCCAAAATCATCATCAGCTCACGGAGAACAAAAGAGATATTTGTAAGTGGCATAAGGATGTTGCACATTTCACTGTATATAGTTGAACACAAATGAATTGTTTTGTGGAAAAAGAAAATGAAATGATATTGTTGTAATCTAATCCTGATTAGTGATTGTGTATTTACAATACATTAATTTGTATCGTAAAGCGGAGAAAAAGCTTTCAGAAAACTAGAGTTTGATTTCTAATACAGTGAAATGAAACAGTATAGACAAAGAAATTTGTATCTACGTATTTCAGTAAAGTAATTCTGATACAACAATGTGGAGTTAGCCTTACATTGGCAACAAGGCTGCCATCTGAAATCAAATTATTCCTAGGAACAACTACGATATGGTAGTAAGTGCTATATATACGGACATATAATTTATGAATCTTGTTACATGTTAACATTTTTCATGGTTGGAGTTTTCCAGTTTCCCAACCATAAAACGAACTAAAGTTTTTAACACCCAACACCACTTAGCTATACTCTGTCTATTCACATTATTTTCTTATCATTGTAAAATTTATGACAGTCATTTCAGAACTTCACAAACATAAAGCAGCCACAACCTATGTTTGTAGTTTGGAGACTAATTTTTATTTTATGTATTTTATTTTAAAACACATTTTATTTACAAATAAGTGAAAATCCACGTGTTACTCTTGCAATGATCACACATTTACAGTTTGGGTAACCATATAGAAATAGCATGTAACAGAACAGATTTATTTATTTATTGTCCACTTTTAATATTTTTACCAATAACCCAAGTTGATGAACCTATCCAACACACCATCCTCCTCCTATTGTCCCCACAACAATGTCCTTGCGGCCCAAGGTCACCCAGCTGGCTTTCATGACTAACATAGAACTGGAACTCACAATCTTCTGGGTTCTAGTCTAGTACCTTAACCACTAGACCAAATATACTTTATATTGTAGTTGTATAAGCATTGCTCACAACAGTCTGAATACATGCTCATGCATTTTCCAAGAATACAAAAGCATTGTATATAAAGTAGATGATCCCCTATTACAGCCCAGAACTCTTTTACAAGAAACAACAATGAATATACAGTACAATCAACCTGATAGAATTAACTGGGCAAGTAGATGAATCTTTCTTTGATATCAGTATTATATATAATTTTCTTACCAACATTTGATCAATAAGATGTGTTAAGCTGGGTACAACTTTCTTCGTGCTAGAAACAGCACCAAAATAATTCAATGTTGTTGCACCCCGATTCCAATCTACTATAATGATGTTGAAATCTTCTTTTTCAAGCAGAAGATCTTTAATTGTATCAATCCATATTGGAGGAGAACCTGTAAATCTATACCCATGAATGATAAAAACAATATTCTTGGTTACATTAAAATGTGTAGAAGTTGTTATATTGTGTTCATCAAGAAGCTCAGCACAGTCGTTATTTCTTCGTGTGTACAAAAGCAGTTTCACCTTCACATCTGTGCCAATCACAGCATTGCCAAAATTAAGATCTGTGAATTTAGGACATTCTTGACCTAAATTTGTAAAATATAAATAAAATAAACATTTGATCAGTATGATTTTTAAAGATCACATTGCATTTCATTTTTCTGCAAGACATCTATGGAATCTCAAATAAGAATATTTTATTTAACTTTACAAACACAATAAATTCAGACCAGAATTCCTGGTTTATAAAAGACCAAATCTAAGAAGTACAAATTTTATGCTGAAGAGAGATAAATCTGACATAATTGGGCTGAGTTCATCCAATTATTCTTTGTTTATCCCTTTTAAAAATAATATAAATTTAAAAAGCTTATAAAATACTACAGAATAACATCGTTATTAACAAAAAAAATTCTACAAATTAGGGCTCTTAAAATTTTATTTAACATGCTTTAAGGAGTAGATCCAGGATTTTGAAAACACAATTTATTTTGCTTGTTCTGGGTGAAAGCAATTCTGATTTGTTGATTCCAGAACATGATTTGAAAGAATTGAGTTCAGCCTCCTCACTACCTAGCATGGAAAATGCATACAAGAATAGACAGGTATAACTAACTCTTAAAAAAATAAAATATTCAACAGAAATGCTCAAATCTTTGGCATGAGGACTGAATAAACTGCCAAGAAGCATCTGATGTTATTTGTCAAGTAATCTTATCTTCTACAGCATTTAACTGAATGTTTATTTGCATTTTGGGTTTTTGTTATTTTTCTAAAGAAAAAACCTTGTGAAATTGCTACTGATGACATGCAGAGTCTTGCATCTTCACCATTAATTTTAAAGATTGTTTTGGAATGTTCTATCTTTGGTAATACAATAATAGCTCTTGTAGTCTGCAGTCTACCTACCTTTCCACACTTATTCCATGAGGAAAAAAACCAACAAAGCTCCTTCCATAGGGCTTTTTCAAATCAGAAATCATGGACAGTTGCAGAATGACACAAGGTGTGTAAGTACACCAGTTTTTCCCCAGTGTTACAATAATACAATAACTTCAAAAGCATGATTACAAAAGTTCCAAGGCAACCAAGATGATCACAAGTGGAGCACTTGTTGTTATCTAAACCATCTTTTTCAGGTGACTATGCAAACTTGAAAAATGATGTAGCTGATTGAACAGCTGGTTTAATTTCTCTTGTGGAAACCATGGTTGTTTTAATTGGTAGTGCAGTAGAAAGGTGATGTGCTCTCTTGAGATCTGAAGCACATCAGAATCTTAGGCAGAACTTTACTAAACACTGGTCATATTTTACAAAATATTTCAAAAGCTCCCCTCCCCTCTTTTATGGCTATAATTAGGTTACATTTACTGTCTGTTATTGAGGGCATACAAATATGAATTAAATAAAACATGGGAACAGATTTAAAATCAGTTTCCAGATTTTTTTCTTATTTTAATCAATAACAACAACAAAAATATACAGTTTGGATATAAACCAAGACTTATCATAGCAGATACGTTTCACCAGCTACAACTTTGTCAATTGTTTGTCATTCCTTACCACTTTCCCATTTCTCAATTAATGTAAAAGTACCAAGCAAGGTTTTTGCAAAATGTGATAAGATGTATGCCTAGCATGTGTATGGCCTGGGGGTACTAATTACTAGTATTACTCTTATTTAATGCTATACGTTTAAGAAAAAAAGAGCTTTTGCTATTGACTGATACTCAGAGATCTCAGGATCAAAAATTCATTGATAATCTGCTGACCCTTTAACAAGCAAACATCTTCCACCATTTTCAATGGTAGTCCCAGATCATCTAGTCAAGCATACTGTAATACAGCTTTTATTTTGCACTCTTCTACTCAGGATGCCTTTGAACACTTGGGTGAGCTTTGACCCATTATCACCAGTATTCTAATAAATCTTAGTTAGCATAGTTGCTCAGACGATTTTACCAACCAACTTTCTCTATATACTACTACAACTTTTCTTCTTGTAATTGGGCAAAACAGTGCTTCACAGGGCAATAATTTTGAACCAAGGTACCTCAAATGGGTACCTCAAATTTTATAAAACATTTAATGATGTAAAAACTATCATAAAACAATAATGCAGCATAATACAAAATGTCATAAAACATTTCTTGTGCTAATGTTCAACATGGGTTATTTTTATTCTTCCCAACACCCCCTCCAAAATTCACATAGCTTCAGGGATCCATCTGTAGTTAACATCAAAGCATGGTTGACTGCTGGTTTGTTCCACTGCCATTTAGACAAATTAACTCTAACACAGTACTGCTGTGGAAACCTAACTTTTATATACTTCAGTTGTACTAGTGTTTATAGCAGGAGGGATCAGGTGTTTAAAGCCAAAGTTCATTTTTACTTTTACTTCAGCCTTTGTCCTTGCCATTTCTGTCCCAATAAGATAATACCTTGAGGCTAAATATGAATATAAGACAACCTGACAGTTAAAGGCTGCATTTGGACATAAATTAGTCTCCTAGCTTAACCTATGCCGTTATGCTAATTTAAATCAACATCAATACAAAATTTCACAATGCTTTTCAATTAATTCTGTGAATCAAGCCTGACTCTACTCTGAATTGGGATTGCAGGTTCATAAAAGGGAAGATTTTATTTTATTTGTAATTTATTATAATAATGCATACACGACCCTAAAAACAAACATCAATATATTCAGTGTAATCTAGTTTTGACTAAATTCCTAAATATATATCTTTTAAATCATGTAAACAAATGAACATGTTATGCCTTCTCTAATAGTGTTTTAGCCACATGCCACATGTTTAATAAATAAGCCATAATTTATTATACTCAAAAAATAAAGTGTGGTTTACAAATCAAAAGGATAGTTAAGTTCACATAACTGTCCTTATCTTGGGGTAGGATCAGTGGTGGGTTGCAGGCAGTATGCCCCGGTACAGGCGTACCGGAGCCCGCCCAGAGCACCGGATACCATTCCAGTATGGTGCTCCGGAGGGCCCACCTGCCCGCCCAAGCTCCTTACCAGAGTTTAAAGGCTTCTGCACAGGCGCATGGTGCATACAGTGCCTGCACGATACTCCAAGGAGCAGCTGGAGCATCGCAGAGGGACTTGAATACATGTGAGCACTGCTAGTGTGCGCACGTGTGCTACACGCGTCCATGAGGACGCTACTGGCCCCGTTCCAACTGTACTGGTTGAAACGGGATTTGCAACCCACCACTGGCATTCAAATTAATGAATAGTGACAGCAGTACTCATAAGTATATAACACAATGCTCAACATGTGAAGTCCAAACCAATAATGTGGTTTAGTACATTGTGAATCTAATGAATAACTTTTCAAACTTACAGTATGTCCTTTTAACTCAAGATATTAGAAAATGTAACACCTTCTCCATGCTTCTGATCTAATGCTGTAAAACCTATTGCATTAAACTGAAATAATGAAATCACATAGAATTAATCTAACAACACATCTTTATATAGAAATTCAAATATCCTGAATTGTTCTACATTAAAAACCTTATAACTCTATTCAGAAGACTTTTAATTCAAGTTTCATACTAGTATTTAAGATAATGATTCATTATTTCTTTTTAAAAATTGATTATCTTTTTTTTATGATAAAATGTTCAGAAGTAACATTTCAATGGCTTTCTTACCTGCTCTCACACAGTATGCCACAAAACAAATGAAAAAACACAACCTCAACATTGAGAGTATTTGGAAAGCAGCCTGTAATAGAAGCATGATACTGCTATTTCCTTGTAACATGTTGATTTTTGCTTAAATTAAACGTCACCAGGCGTTGTACACTGAAGGAAGTACTTGGCAGATTAAAGTCCAGTCTTAGAGTTTTTGCAACCTACAGTTCCTCCTCCCAATTTAAATAGGCGAGGCAGTTTCTTTTCCTGAGGGGTTGTATATCTTTTAAATCACGAAAAGTTCTTTCCTCGAGATCCTCAAAACCAGATATTATACAGCCTTTTTACAGTACTTGATCTGCTATGAACAGGCAATTTTGTGGCATATAAAGAGTACAGGAAGATATAATAATTTCCATTTACAAAAATAATTGATTTCATTTATTTGAATGTTTAAACATCTACACATTTTAATACTCAAAATATAAAGCTGATATAGATATATGTAAGATTAGCAATTTGGCAATATAGCTTTTTCCCCTACATACAATGGTTCTGTATTTTCAAAAAAACCTTGTGGTTTTCTCTTAATATTATTTAAGTCTGACAATGAGTAATATACCCTTACTAAAGAATTTAGGTATTCCAATTAACATCACATAAGTACTAAAACCAAGTATGATAGAACAGATTATGATGTTGCTTTCCCCTTACAATTCACAGTAATATATTAAGTCTTGATTCTTTATTTTTTTATTTTCTTGTTTTGATGTATCATTATTTTATTTTGTATTCTCTTTATGCTACTTCACGGAAATCTCTTGATTTTATTAAATGTATTTTTATATTGTCTCACTAATCTATTTGCATGCTTCTTGACCATATATTTGGCAGTTATGATGATTGGAAGACATTCTTTTGGAAAATCCTTCGAACTTGTCAAAAGAAAGTAGCAATGTACCTTCAACAAAAGAATAGAGAAAAATCAAAAGGTATGCTTCTAAATTTAAATGTCTGGTTTTCAGAATAATTATACTTGGAAAGCTAGCTACAGTATGCTTAAATAGTCTGTTGACTGAAATAGAGAACGAGTCAAAAGAAAATTGCTTAATACACAGACCAAAAAAGAATCAGAAGATGCATTAGAAAATTATACAGTATCATCAATGTATGTCATCAAAGAGGCAATACTATCCTGTCAGAAGAGAAGAATTTATCAGCAAAACCAGGCAGAGGAATTTTACTTTTTATGGACTATAAGGAATGAGGAAAGACAGATGTTGGTATCAATCTTCCTCTTGGGAGAAAACAGCAATATAGACACTAACCTCAGAGGAAACAATTTGGTAGTTTCAGTTATAGCAGTTGCTAAGAGATTTAATGCTTTTGTTGATATGACAGGAGGGAGGAGTGCAGTTTTGCTCATTCCCTAAAAGCTGCATGGCTAGATCTGGCTGAGATCAGTGTGTCAAAAGTCATCCTTTCCAAGTCTTTATTATGAGATCAGTCTGACTAATATCAAACATTTGGTAATTTAATTTGGTCATTTAAACAAGGAAAAACTGTTATACAGTAGGTGAACGTGAGTGTTTAATCACACAAACATATTCTACATATTTTGAATATGTGCTATTGTATATCATTTGTCCAGACATTATGCTGATATGGCAGGAAACAGAGGGTTCCTTGCTAGAGAATTGTCAGTGTAGATCAGATATTTTCCAGGGAGTCCACAACCTGTGGGCTCAGGGGTTTGCAGCTGGGCCACAGAGATGGCCAGTGAACATGTGCACACATGCATCCTTACTTGTACGAGCAACAGGTGAGCATGTGCATGTGTGCTCCATTTGCATGAACCAGTCACGCAGAACCATCTCCTCTCCTCCCTGCTGGTTTGCAAAGCCAGAAATATCAGGGAACTCGGTTCTAAAGCTATCAAGACAACTGACAAGCATCTACTGATTTCACAAATACCTTTAGTAAAGGGCAAAATATTTACAGATGTCTGTGTTCAGTTTTTTGCTTTTTAAAGTGTGATACAGCTCTGATTGTAGCTCTCCTTTGTCGTGTGTGTGTGTGTGTGTGTGTGTGTGTGAGAGAGAGAGAGAGAGAGAGAGAGAGGGGGGGGGAGGGGGAGGGAGGGAGAGAGATATTGATTGAAAGATTATCTGGGGTGAAGACTTTTTTGTTTTTTATTACTTTCAAATGAAGAGTACATTTTGGCAAGACAATTTATGTTAAGTAATAACATAAGAAAGCAAATTTTGTCTCAACCAAGACTGAGGAAATGTTAAGTAATTTATCTGCATCTGAATATCTTTGGGGTGATTTTCTGTCAAGCTAGTGACTTTTTTTGCAAACAGAGTATTTTTAATCTTTAAAAAAAACATTGGGTACTAATGAAAGGCTTGATAAGCTTCATCAGGTTCCTTTGTTAAAATAGCAAGGTGACTGGGACAAGAAGGGTTCTAAATCTAAAGCAGCTGCAGAAACTGTAACCCAACCACCAATTAATATAGAATATTCATTCCTTCAACCACTCAGTTGCTGGATTCTCCTTTCAGCTATGGTTTGCAAACATCTCAAATAATGCTTACTCTGAGAAATTATATAAATTAATACAAATGGTTTTCTTATAAAGTAAACCATCTTCTATTAAACCAGCTGCTTGATATTCAAATATTGCAGATGTGACGATGACTCATTGATTTCCTTGAATTTTTGAAGAAGACTCATTCTTGAATTTAGAAGAAGACTTCCTTGAATTTAGTGGCTGTATGTTCATCCATTCCATTAGACAAAATCAATAAATTTCAGAACTTATAAATTTTAGCCAAAGTGTTTGTTTTGGGATTTAGTAAAAGATCAGGTTAATTAACCATGAAATAAGGGAAGCTCTTATTACAAAGCATTACAGAAGATCACATTGGAAAGAAAAAGCTTCTAAGTCTGTAATATTTTTATTGCTTGAACTATAGTGCAAGTTTTTCAATAAAAATAAAATCCTAATGCCAGCTCCTGAAGGATCAAAGTACTGTAATTTTCTTTACAGCTTAATCTTGATAGTTACATACTGAAGTAATTTTCTTTACAATCATGCCAATGCCCTACCCAAAAGTAGGAAGTAATGAAATACAGCTAGCCCACGACTTACAGCCACAATTGAGCCCAAAATTTCTATTTTAAGACCTTTCTTGACACAATTGTTAAAAGAATCACTGTAGTTGTTAAACTCTGGCTAAGTGAATCTGGATTTCCCATTGACTTTGCTTGTCAGAAGATTGCAAAAGAAGATCATAATATCCCAGGATACTGCAACCATCATAAATATCAATCAGTTGCCAAGCATCTGTAGTTTGATTGCATGACTATGGGGATGCTACAATGGTCATAATTGTGAAAACGGGCCATTAGTCACTTTTTTTAGTGCCATTGTAACTTTGAGTGGTTACAAAATGAACTGTTGTAAATCGAGGACTACCTGTACAATATCAAAAATAATACTTTGTTATTTTTCATGCAATGGACTCCAATGTCTTATCAGATGTAATGTTATCCATTCCTAGCCTTTCTTAGATGCAGACTTTATCTTTCGTCATTTAGAATTAAAACAATAAAAGGAAATATAGTAAATCTATATTCAGTGTATCTTTCCACACGATTCAAATGTTATAAACCACCCTTCCACCAGGATCCTACACCCATTCGTACATTGCCTTTTATTCTTTAAACTTCTCACCTTTCAGTCACAACTTTCTTAATCTACGCCTTCAGCTCAACCTCTTCATTGTTCACGCTTATTTGTTCTGCAGTCCTATCCTTCATTCTCTCTTCATGACCCAACATGCTCTCCTTGGGATTTGGGTCTGTTTTTCAATTTATTCCTTCAACCCTAATACATTTTAACTTCTTTTTGTTTAGCATACACAATTCTTAAGTATCACATTTCCACCAATTTGTTTAGTTTTCTTTTTATCCCGACATACCAACTCCAGTTCTGGCATGACAAAGTGGTCTCAGATGATACAATCATTTATTTATTTTTACTCTTGTCTCTTTTCTGCCAAGAGGACTCCCAGTGGTACCTTTGTGTGCAGTTCTAAGCACCATATTTCCAAAAGGCTGATTGGTTAGATCAAATTCAGAGAAAGGTAACAAAGAAGAAATGACAGAGATCTGAGGACATGCCACATGAATGCAGATTGGAAGGTTTTGGAATGTTGAATCTGAAGAGAAAAAAAACCTAAAAGGAGACACAACATTTAAACTGACACAGAAAACAGAGTTGGAATGGATCCTTTAGGTCATATAGTCCAACCCCTGCTCAAGTAGGAAACCCTATACCATTTCTAACAAATAGCTGTCCAGTCTCTTCTTGAAAGCTTCCAGTGATGAAGCACCCATAACTACTGAAGGCAAGTTGTTCTATTCGTTGATTGTTCTCACTGTCAGAAAATTTCTTCTTCTTTCTAGGTTAAACCTCTCCTTCATCAGTTTCCATTCACTGTTCCTTGTCTGGCCTTTGGGTGCTTTGGAAAATAGGTTGTACCCCTCCTCTCTGTGACAGCCCTTCAAAAATTGAAGAAACATGGAGCTTAAAACAGAGAAGGCCAATTGTTTATTTTAAGAACGATCATTGTTCCAAACTGCACAGAAAGTACAATAGTATTACAATAAAGAATAAATTTACAGACAGTTGAATTCCTGGTAAAGAGGGCATAACTGGTGGTCAATTTCACCACAACTTTGTATTTTGTTAGTTGATTGCTGCTCTGACAATTCCTATAAATACCATATTTTGGGGGGTATAAGACGCACCTTTCCCCCCCAAAGAGGGTGAAAATTCTCATACAGGAATGTAGCCCCACCCACCTCCACCAGAGGCCAAAAACACGAGACATGGAGGCAGTGATGGTCTGTGGCAATCCCTGCAGCTTAGAACAGCTGATTGGGGGCATTCTGCCCCCCCTCCCCGATCCAATTGCAATCAGCTGTGCTGAATCAGGCTGCAATAAGTGCTGAAGCTGACCTGGCTGGTCAGAGTTTGCAGCAGCAATCACATTCAGAATATCAAAATCAGGTTTTCCAAGGTAGCAGTAAATACAAGCAAAACACAAGTATTTTCACTTTCAGTTCTCAGCTAAGCAAGGCTCCTTCCTGTCTCCTTGTTACTCACATGGCAAATACTGTTTCAGAGTCCAAATAGACCTCATTGGCTGACTTAATTGCTATGCCTATTGGCTGACCTTGTTAACATGTGTTCCAAGTCAGGAAGCTGGCCAGCTGAATAACATGGATGCTGGTAGGCAGAGGCAGACTTCTTTTTTCTTATTATTTTCCTCCCCAAAAACTAAGGTGCGTCCGCTGAGTCCCGCCCAGCCGTCCTGTTTAGGATAACCCGTTCCCTCCTAAATAGGAGGGATACGAGGGACACCTTGCAGGGTAGGGCTGAGGATTATGTCCAGTTCTTAGCGGACAAAGTTGCTCGGTTTCGGTCGGATTTGGACTCCACCTTTGCAGATCCAGCCGAGGCACAGGAGGATAATTTGGCAGATCATCTCTGGGTTGAGTTTCAGGATGTTGCCCCTGGGGATGTGGACAAGGCCATAAGAGCTGTGAGTGCCTCTACTTGTGTACTGGACCTGTGTCCCTCCTGGCTGGTTGCCAACAGCAGTGAGGTGACACGAGGGCTGGATCCAGGCGGTCGTTACCGCCTCCCTTTGGGAGGGGCACTTCCCTGCCGCACTTAAAGCGGCGGTGGTGAGACCCCTCCTGAAGAAACCATCTTTGGGAAGAAGGCGGGGCTTAGCAGTGAGAAGACGGAGTTTCAGGCTATTCCTGAAATTCCCCTATT